AACCTTTCCATGGAGAACTGGATTTTCTAGAGGCATTTCACATTCAAAAAATCTTTCTGTTCTAGTAACGATCCTAATTTAATCCAAATTACCTCGTCTTTAAGAAATTAGTTTTAGTCTGTTTCACCAACAGGGCGCCACGTGTTATTCCTGTCCAGACTTCTTAGATTATCCATTTATTTCTATTTGTCATTTGCGGTTTTGGAGTGAAGATGGTGGTTCGGGAAAACCATCGAACTAGCCTGTGAAAATTTGTAAATAACGCGATTTTGTTGTTTGACTTCTGAATTAGTATTTATTCGGCGTGTTATTGTGTATTAATATTTAACATAGACATGGCATGATGTGGGCATTTTCAATTTCAGGCATATTTGGGCAGTGTAAGACAAACACGTTATTATAACATGAACAAAATAGATAGATACATAAATTTGCATAAAGTTAATAATGTAATATTTATGCTGGCTTGGAGCATAACATGTCTAAGCCTTATCATGACATTCTTTTCTAATAATCTTGACTTCATGTCAAATAAGCAAATTATGAAAGTGCATGCCATTCATCTAAAGTGTGCATGCATTGTATTTATCATATCATTACACCTTCCCCATAAATGATTTGATTGCATCTTTCAGTGACCTGTCAAATCCACATGTAAACATTTCTCAACAACAAAACACTAATATTCATGAAATTTTCAAGCTTAATTAACCAATTCTTACTAATTTCCATTAAAATTATTTCAACATGAATTCAGTTTTAATCATAACATCCAATCATTTACTTAAACCTAAATCTTTAAAATTATCTTAAATCCATAAACAAATTATTTTGTTTATGGTTTTGTTTGCAAATCAATCATTACAATTAAACATCATAGGTTATCAAACTATACCTAAATATTAATAATATAACATTAGAAAAATTTCAAAGGTTCAAAATTCTAGTGTAATCTGTTAAAAAAATATTCAAAGGAAATAGTCAAAATGTTTATAATATTCCAAAAGTCTTTCAGTCATATTTTAATCACTGGAAAGTATAATCATGTTGTTAATGCAGATCATCAATATAAGACTCATCATAATTTTTATGTTTGGTTAGAAGTTTTTCATAGCCTTCTGGAAAGTTGTGGCTTTTTTTTCTTTCCTTAATATAAAGTGTGAAACTACAAAATCATATTTTCCTTGGTGTGTCACAAAAGAAGTCAAGTATTAGCATTCAGGGTTTAATTGTATTTGCTAGTATTCTTTAAAAAGATCATTCAAAGTGATGTAATTGGACTTTGGCACTTGGTAAATTAGGTCCATAGCATTTCTGTTTGAAAAGACATCAGTTTCAGTTTGCAGGTTCACATACCAGTAGTCCACACATAATCATACTGTTCCGTTTTTCTTTGACACACAAAATTTTGGATGCACATTTTCACATTCTGATTCAACATCTAGTTGCAGTTTTAATAGATCATCTATTTGTCAATCAACTTCATTTTTTTAGAACTTTGGATATCCAGTACAGTATCTGCTTCTTTGTGGTTTCAGGCTTTAATTTGGTATTATGTTCTTCAAGATTGGCAGTTTTTGGAATACCAGATCTTAGATTGGCATTCTCTCTTAAAATTTCCCTTTTTTTTTTTTTTTTTTTTTTTTTTTTTTTTCATGGTTCGAAGCGCATAAGACTAAAGTCTTCCATCACTGTTCTGCTTTCAGTGGAACAATTCTTATAATGCTTTCAACTTTTCCAAAATCAGTGTCTTCATTATATATCACACTCATTATTCACAGCACACTTGAACTCCCATATCTTGTTTGTGTGAACATGCTTCAAAGTATTGTCAGGCATTTGCACTATATAACTATAATCAGTATGCCTTTTTATGATTGTAGCAGATCCAATCCATCTTGCATAAACTTTGTTTTCACTGTCAAAGATTAAGACTATATGTCTGTCACCTTCCTTAAATTCTTTGTGGTAAGTGGCCCACCAGTGGCCGAGCGGTAAAGTCGCTGAACACTGGTAGTTCGGTCCGAGGTTCGAATCCCGCAAACGGGCTGGCTGCATGGGTGTTTTCGTGGTTTTCCCCATGTGTAACGTGTATACGAGCCAGTTTCCCTTAGAAAGTCCTCCACGAAGGTATACCTCCCCTTAGGCAGATAGCCCTAGTGTGCTTTGCCATAATTAAATACACACTTTGTGGTAAGTCTTTCAGTTGTGGTAAAATGCATAAGCTTGTTGCTTGCCAACAACTGTAAGTCCTGCATAATTCAGCAGCTTTTTTTGAATTTATAATTTTGAATAGGTTAGTTTTCCATGAGAAATATGGATTCCATTAGTCCATGATGTTTTCAAGATAGATAATGAGCCATTAGGACGTCTTCCATAAAGCGTGTGGAATGGACTACCATCAATCATAGCAGAGGCTTCTCAGTAAGTCCAAAGTTAGTATATTAGCTGTATAGAATTTGCGTGTAGTTTTTGTGAGTATATGCTCTTAAACCCTATGTTGAAGACTAAGTAGTGAATTCTCGCTATGTTTTTAAGAATAAATACTGCAGTTGAAAGGTTTAAAAAACCTTTTTATTTAAATCTAAATTAAAACCAATGCATGCACTTCGTGCTCACAAATCACCACCACTTGTGGCTACGTAACAGAAAATAAGAATATAACGATTCAGTAGTAAATTAAGATAATCTAATGACTGGTTCCTTAGCTTAACTAAAGCAAAATCGACTGCACACAGCAAAGCTGAGCCAAGAAATATCAGTATAAAATTAATTAATTTTGAACTTACAGCATAAACATCGAAACTAAATCCATTACTACTCTTTGAACTCTTGCAATGAAGCTTAAATACTGTTTCTGAAAACATGTTTAAAATTTACATCTATGTCATACAAAATTTGTATTCCAGCAGGAAACTGAAATCGGGAGGAACAGGAAAGTCAAACTAAAAATAACTGTTTGGAATAAAGTAACGCCTTACACTATTTCCTGCCAGAATTTAAATATTTAAAAATAAGGTCTTTAAACGACCTGTTCAAAAAATTTTAATTCTAACTTTAAACTTTTATAGTCAGCCTTATAATATAAATGCTACTTAAATACAATAAGTTTTTAATTTAACAACAGAAATTCCAGGAACATATTTTCATCTATGCTAGCTTCAATAGTTGAGGTCCTTAAAGAGGATCTGGAAGGCAACTAATATTAATTGAATATTTTGATAAAACATGCATTTTTTTTTCACTTTCACAAATTTAACTTTTTCTTTTCCACCCCTAGTTCTCCAGCATATGCATGTACTGAATTTTCAGTGCATGTGAAAGTGAGGTGTTTTAACACAGCTTCATGACCTGAGCAACGATCCACATGTTAGTAAGCTCAGACACACTATACTTTAACAGCACCCTATTTTCTCATCCTAGTGTACTTATTCAATATGTATTAACTGTGTTCACCGGAGAGCCTGACTAACATTTAAAATACCCAAGCTAGCTTTTACATTTCGCTAAATTTAAAATTTCAATTCCTGAATATTTTTACAACTAATTTTACAAAGCTGCACATTCTTTGCACATTACATTCAACATGGTTGACACATTTACATTAAACACAGTTGAAAACCATACAATAATATATACAAGTTTTCAGTTTCTTACATTCAAAATCTAAATCATCTTATCTCGTCAAATGCATAAAAACAGCCTCTCAACTAAATGTCATAATTTCTTCAGCAAACAAAAATTTCGTAGAAAATAAATTTTTCAGCTACTAGCTGCAGCAACTAATAAAACCTCACGTGAGGCAAAAACAATTAGATAATTCTTAACAAGCACTTGGAATATTTTTGGACATAACAGAACTGGATACTTGAAAATAAAGTCAAATTTTACTTAATTTTTTGATTTGGCTTATTCACTCATCCGTTTGAATTCCAAAATTCTGAATTTGAGCCGAAATTCCTCCCAAAATGGGAATGTATTTGCAGTTCTTCCATGATGCAGGCATTTTCATAACACATACATAGACAGCATCAGATTTTTATTGTAACATGAATGAAATAAACAACTATAATTTACATAAAGTTAATATTGTAATATTTCTGCTGGCTTACAGAGCCTTATCCTGACATTCTATTCTAATAATCTCAACTCTGTGTCATATGGGAGAATTGCAAAAGCATGTGCCATTCAGCTGAAGTGCACATGCACGATATTTATCATATGATGACAGAAACACAAACAGCTAATTAATGTTAATCATAGTTTATTGGGGTGCTGAAATAATTTCAGTATTCGTTACCATTTTTATGCCCAGTCACAACATGTTAAGAAAAAAGCTACCCACAAAAATGGTATCAAAAGAACATTTTATGATCAAAATTAAGGAAAAATTTAGATTTTTGTAATTTATCTTTGTTGTGAAAAGGTCTAATTTACTTTTGCTTAGTATGAGACTGAAACATTGATTAAGGGATTTGAATATGATACATAGTTATTCACCTCGGAACTATATACAATATTAATTATTATTTCTTAAAATTCATTTTTGTTGTTGAAAATATAAACAGATAAAGAGACCAAAAACAATGTTTTAATATCAGAAACCATATTACTCCTGTGATTCAAGTTTTTCTTTTAATCATGAATAGAAAAGAAGGATAAAATTGTAGAAGATTTGCAAAGGATAAGTTTTTCTTGCTTTGTATTTCTGTATTTTGAAGCAATTATTTGAATTAAATATCTTCATGGAAAGTTATTAAATCTTGAGAATTTATAACTACTGTAATATTTTTAGTGTGCAATCTGAACTGCATTTTTATGTATATGCAAAATGGCTGCTAGTATAGTAAAAAGCAACCTCCCCCCCCCCAAGTCTTGAAATCGGCATGTTATTTGATATTCACTGAAGAGCAGCATCAGTGCTGTATATGAAAGGTTCTATAAAAGCAAATGAATTGAATGATCAAAAAATTCCATTTAAATTATGCAGTAATATGAATATCTGTGTATTGTTTTAGTGCTTTACAAGAAGCTGAAAAACAAGGTGGGGAAGGAATTGATGCTTTTAAATGTCTTTTTCCTCTTAATGAAAATCCAGAAGAAATGAAGAAACGGCTTTTGTATAGTGTATATGCTTTAGAACTGGAAATGTAATATTTTTTCCTATATTTTTTATTATGTAAAGTGCTTCCTTGTCATTTTAATATGTATTAAAATATTTTAATTTGCAATTTTGCAATGATGGACAGGAGAAAAGTTGCTTAAAAAATTAAACTTGCAAATTATTAAATAGTTTTTAAGGTATTCCATTAAGGATATTTAAAGATGTTTATGGTTTTGCTACAGTAATTAGTTACTTTCTGGTGAATGTTTCCAAATTTTTTATGTAGTATTATAAATATACTACCATATTTACTTGCGTAATAATTGCACTTCTTTCAGTTTTTTAGTGGGAACACATAGATGCAACTGTTATGCAGGGGAAATATACTGCTCAATATTATACAGTTTTGAGGATTTTTTCTGCTTTCTGCTTCATAACATTGTATGACAAGTACTGTATTCTCTACTATGTGCTAATGTATCCTGCACTGCATAATGTTATATATTTACCTTGTCTTAATTTGAGTAGCTACTGCATATATATGTCATGTATATAATCATTGTTATATCACATGCATCCCAATATATAGTGTTCATATTTCCATGCATATTTTAATCAAGTCATATGGTGACTGTCCAATGTATTTCAAAGTATATTTTAATCAAGTTATATATTGTCAAGGTATTATTCAATGTAACAATATGTGTAACTGCGTGTAATTATAATTTATGCACGTAATTATAATTTGCTATGAAGGTCACCATAGAAAATCATGTAATATGTATCTTGAACGACGTGTAAGACACTGTATTTATATATTTAATCAATGCATACTAATTCAGCGAAGTGCCAGTGTGGCGCCGCCTCTTGACATCTGGGGCTGTTCTAGTTAATGATGGATGTGGTGCTGTACTGATTAACCAGTATGGTAGAGGCACAGTGCCCATGTCCCCCGTCACTTGTCACTTGCTTCAAAATGTTAGTGCGACTATTACACGAGTAAATACGGTAATATGGTCAAGCACTTCGAACATTAGATTCTGCTATCGTGTTTCAAATGTATGTGCCATATTACACAATCATGCAATATTGAAAAATTCTTGTAGATATACCATATATTGTGTATTTTCTCCCTTAGCTTTTTAGTGGCAAGTTCTGAAAATTTTAAAACTATCCATGTAATTTTCTCTTTCCTCAAAATGCTCAGAGAAGTAACTCCTCTAAATTTTAAAATGAATTCATTCACATAATGGTTGTTTTTACTAATAAAGACAAACCCTCACAAGCTAAGTGCGAAGATCATATCAAGCTTTACCCTTCTAAATGTTGAAATGTATGCCAGTCTACTATACAAGCACTGATCAGTCACAATAAAGCAAACATGAACTGCAATGGAGTCTAGAATTTCTGTGATTTCAGTTGCACATTCACCATTTCTAATTAATTATGGATGATTTGAATCCTAAGGAATAGCAGAGCCAATATTTAAAATCTGTGAGATTCAAGGTACAGGTAAGTAGAAATGAAGATGTCTTATTAGATATTGTAATGTTAATATTACTGGGTATTCTTATTGAATGTAGGTTTCTTTTAGCGAAAAAAAAATTGTAATAGTTATCTGTAGTTTATCTGTTACTGCTTTTCATTTTTTATGTTTTTACTGTAACTGCTGCTTTAGAAATTAAATTATTCACATGATTTTCTTCTCTCAATTTTTGAGTCATAAAATTAGTAATAAAAAAGAGAAAGAAAAGGAAAGTAAGTGAGGAATAGGGTATATAATATGCAATAATAAAATTATTATCAGTTAAAATATCATTTTTATATACAACATTAATAATTCCTATGCGTATAAATTTATGATTATGTATTTGTTAAATTTTTGTTTCTAGGAAGATGTTAAAATTAGGGGCTGATGATAAGCCTGTCCTCAAAGGTGAAGTTCCTGTGCATTTTTTAAGTTATATCATGTCAGCACTTGGATGCTTTTTGTCAGAAAAGGAAGTTTGTATTATTATTATTATTATTATTATTGCTGTTGTATTTATTTCGGGGTAAAATTATTTATTTATTTTTATGCGTCTCTTAAAATTGTTTCACCTGATAGCTACAATTCTATCTGCTACTGATACTAATGCCATAAGCTAATATTTCTGCAGAATATATGTAATTTAAGTATTCTCTTAAATTCATGTACTTTATTTTGCAACTGCAGTAAAATATACTAGTTATTTAAAAATTAATCATTTTTCATTTTTTTTTTTTTTTTTTTTTTTGCCCTGTATTTAAAAAAAAAAAACAGTGGAGTTTAAAAAATGGTCTGTTGTAAACATTTTTTTTTTTTTTTTTTTTTTTTTTTTTTTTTTTTTTTTTTTTTTTATGTTTGATCTCTGTTCTCAGGTAGAATTTTTTTCTAATTCCTCTTTAGTTGAAGCTAACTGAGAAGCATATAAAAGCATTGTTTAATATTTAGTAGTGATGTACAGTATTGTAGTTATTACTTTTGCTTTATCTATGTATTTTACTGCATAACTTACTCTGTAGAGTTTATAAGTGCATTGTACATCTACAACAGTATTTCATCCTGCTTCTCCTTGCCATTTATTTTGTTGCAGATTTCTGAAAATATTTAATTTGATTACTCTGTTTTTTTTTTAAATATTGTTGTGATAATATTTATTGTTGTGCTTATTTCGAGTATGGGATTGTAGATTTTTCAGTTCTGAATCCAGCAATGTTTAATATGTTAAAATATCTCAATTAGAACTCAAGATATAGGCAAAAATGCACCTGACAGGTTTTGGAAACAATATTTGTCACCAAGTGACAATATCTGGCAACTTCTTGTTCAAATCGCTCAACCAGAACACACCTGACGGAATTGGAAACAATATTTGTCACCAAGTTGACTGCATTTGGCAGTTTCTTGCCAACTTAGTAACTTTTTGAAAGTTTTAGGCAAAGACATTTTCAGTTCTAGAAATGATTTTACCCAAAGCTCCTAGAAGCTTGTGCAACACCATTTAATACAGATATGACAGTCGAGAGAAAACAGTTGTTAATAAGTTCTCAGGGAGATTGTTGCTTAAAGTGTTCTTTGAATTGTACTTTAGAAATTACTTTGTGTATTGGAAATTTATAGTACTTCTGTAATACTAAGGACGATTTTCCTACTGTTTGCATTCATCTTGAGTTATTTTCAACTATTTACTTTGCTAGGTATAATTTTTAATTACAATAAAACATCAGTTTCTTCTTATTGATCTTGAGTGCTTATTTGAAGAGACATCCACAAACCATAGCTTGCAGCCTGTTTCAGAGAATGTATTTTCATGAATATACATATACTTAAAATTTCACTTTTAGATACAAAGCATATCGTTCTATGAGTTTTAATAATTTTCTTTCATTTAGTCTATGTAACATTTTATTTTGTATAATTTAATTTTCTGATATCTTACTAAAGGTTAATTTATGTGTGTTCATTAAAAACTGGATCAAGAAAGCTGAGAAGAATTAGATGAAATTTATTGCATGTTATATAACAATCTTTGTGTAGGTTAGTTCATAAAAAATCTATTTCACTGATGTTTAAATTCTTCAAATGAATGAAAATTTTGAAGAATTGTATTTTTTAGTTTATAACTAGTCGTTTTTTTCACTTAATGAAAAAAAAAAGTTTAATCTGGTGGTGATTTATTGTATCTATATGCCTACTCAGAGGGAAAAGAGAATCATGATAATATTTGCTGGTACAATTTTTTTTAAATGCATTTTGATGAGATGAAGAAGATTTAACATTTTTCAATTTGAAGTCAATTTTGGGAAACTTTAAATAATATATATATTGATTTTTTACTGAGGCAGTAATATTATTTAACTTTATATCTCATGTAGAATTTATAACTGTTTAGAGCCATATCATTAAATGTTTAATAATTGAAAGTAAAGAAATAATACAAGTTCATATTTATACAAAAATGAATTTCCAGATTTTTATAATTTTAGAAAACTAAAATACTTTAAGGAGAAATAACATAAGAGAAACTGTTTAATTACTTCTCTGTTAAATTTTGTGTTTTCATTCAGCACAATGTGTAATTTAGCATTAATTCAACATTGTGCAAAATATAATAATAAAAAGGTTTCATGAAAATTCCTTTTTAGGTATTTGTTCAGAATTAGCTTTCATTACATGATTTTAAAATATTAATATAATTTTAAAAGCATGAGCGTAATAGGAAAATAGTGTAAGATTTTGGCTTGCTAAAATTAAAGGGCATGGAAGTACAAAAGTGTAAAGAGTGATTCTGCCTGCAACATTTGTACGAACTGTTAAAATTTTATAATTTGTCTTTTTTATTCTTAATTGAGCTGAATTAAAATTTCATTAATTTTAAATGATGACGTGTAATAAATTGCATATTCCCCATATGAGTTATGAGTTCTGCATGTATGAAAATGTTGTAAAAGTGAGTCAAATTTCAATGTACTTCAGTGAATGGTAGTGCTTTATGCTGGCTTAAAAAGTTTTGAAATTAACATTTTCAAGAGGAATACAGAACTAAATGGGCAAGCAGAGCTAGGAAATAATGAATTTAGGATGTTGATAGACTATCATATCTCCAGTAAAGAGATAGGGGAGAGGCTTCACTGTGCCCAGTGACTAGCAGCAGATTACATAAAATGAACAGAAAGATTTTCTTCTGCTTCTATTTGCATGTCACAGGAATTCTGGCAATAAATATCATTTTGCTCATCTTTGTTCTTAAGACATGGAAAAGATCCATTCTTTAGGTGTTTTATAAGTGAAAGTGAATGAAGAATTCTTTATTCAAATATTACTCAAAAAACAAAAAGAAAAGAAAGGTGGTTGATCCTGAGAGAAGACTCTCAGATAAACCAGGATTGTATTAAAAGGAGATTTTTCTTATCATTTGGTGGGATATGGATGGTGTGATTTTTAACACTGTTAGAAAATAATTAAGCCATTAATGCAGACATTTGTTTGATCATTTTTAACTTAACTTGTTTTAACTATCAAGTTATCTTCATTGATGATTCTTCAAGATAATACTAAATTTTATACTGCAAAAATGACTTGGAAAAAATGCCTAATAATGTGGAAATTTTGTTTGCTTAAAAAGCCAAATAATACGGTTATTAACTGTTTAGTCAACAACAGAATTTTCTTGTAGATGAAATCTACTGCAGTTAACAGAAGTTGAAAATGTAATAAATGAATATTTTGCTGAAAAATTAAAAGAACTATTTACTCTTTGAAGTTGTCTACTTCAGTACTGTCTCATTTTCTGATAAATTTAATAGTTCATTTAAAAAGTATATTGTACTGCCTTTTTTCCTGTTGCTGATATTTTAGTAATTTTTCTAAATCTATTTTATAGTTGGAGATGATGCATAAGGATGTCAATTTTGAAAACAAGTATCTACATAATGGGCAAAAAACTACCTTAAATGTTTTGGATATCATGAAATGTAAATATTTGTTTCATAATCTATTTTATTTTTATAACAAATATTCATATGAGGTATAAATATTTATTTTATAATCTTATATCTTTCATAATCTTTTATTATCATAAATGTTTATTTATTTATAATTAGTCAAAAGCATCTTGATTTTCTTCAAAATAATCATGTTTCTTTATATATTTTTGAGGCAGTTTTATTATGTAGCCTTAAATTTAATTTTTTCACGAGAAAAATTAGTCGATTTTATATTTAACGTGTAAAGATTTTAAATATGTTACTTTTTTTACTGGAGGGATGGTATTTATACATGAAAGAATTTATGATGTTGTATGGTGAGAAAGACATGGGAATTGTGATTTAAATAATGTTTATAATTTTATTAGCAATAAATATGTAATCCAAAACTGAAAACTATTATTGCAGCTCATAGTTTTACAGCTCAAATTTATTAGAACTGTCTTTTAATTTTATATTTAGAAATATTATTAATCATTATTAATTATAATTAATTATCCATTTCTCTGTCAATAATGATTCATTTTGCTATAAAAATTTGGACACTATTTTAATTATTTGTTAAATACAGCATTATCCTTTCATTTCATACGTGATCTGAGGGATTTTTCATTGTAAGTATATTGGATTTTTCTTTCCAAAAAGTGTAATCCATGAGTAATGAATGTAAGTAATTTATACTTGCATATGTAATCTTATCATGCTGTAAATATTAAGGATTATTTATTTGAATTGTGTTTAGTATTTTTTGTTACCAAACAAATTTTTATGTGTCTTTACAACAATAAATGGTTCATGATTCAGTTATGTTTGCTATGGTAATGAACCTTTCAAATATGTGAGTTATGTGTTCTATTCTTTTTTGTTTTTTTATTGCTACAGTGCTTTGAGTAATGTGTGCATAAAATGCTGTGTTGTCACGTGGACTGTATTTCTGCTATTTCAAAGTGTTATGTAAAATAAATGGTGATACAGTCTGCTTTGTTTTTGTGAACTTATTCCTAAACATTTTTTGGTCCATGTAACCGTAGAAGTGAATCCAATAAGCTGGATATCTGTGATTTATTCAAATTAGCTTCCAATTTCGTTTTCGTTGGAGGTGGTGAACATGGAAACCAGCAATGTATTGGATTAATAATCTGTGTAGTGTACTTTTGAATCGATTTGTGGATTATGTGTATGGCATCCATGGTGAAATCAGTTTCGATTTGTGGATTATGTGTATGAAATCCGTGGTGAAATCAGTTTCGATTTGTGGATTATGCATGTGGCATGGTATAGTGTAGAAACCTTAGCTTTGGGGTAAGTACATTCCAATTTTTCTTTTTTGCTAAAGTTGTTATTCGTAATGGCTGATTTGAAACCATTTTTAACTAAAAAGGAAGTTCTAAAAAGCAATGTAATAACATTTAAAGGCAAGGTAAATTCTAATTTAGAACAAGCAGAAATTTTAGAGGTAAAATTGTTCGAAATGAAACTAGATGCTTTTAACAGTGAACTTCACTCTATCTTTGAGGAAATTTTTATTGTTGTATTGTGAAAAAGATTGCGATACATTCATTACGGAACAACAAACAATGCAAGAAACTTTAGATGAATTATGGATAACTATAAATAAAAAGTTACAGAAACTTTCCAGTGATTCTATTATCGAAACAAATTGTGTAGCAAAGGTAAATTCATCTGACGTTCCATTACCAAAATTAAAACTTTTGTCCTTTACAGGAGAAAATATAGAAGAGTTTATTAGTTTCTATGATCTTTTTAAGGCAAGTGTAGCAAGTCTTTTTAAGGCAATCTGAATATTTCTAAATGTCAGAAGTTTCAATATTTAAAGGCTTTTTGTAAAAAAAAGGCTCTGTCTAGTATTGAGTCTATTCCTATTTCTGATGCTAATTATGATATTGCCTTGCAACTTTTACAGAAACGTTATTCTAATAAAAAAGAATTAATTAATGCATTAATCCATAAAATGCTTAACTTGCCAAATGTTTCTGATTCAGCTCAAGCTATTTTACATGGTGTTGACGTAATGAATGAATGTGTACGTTCCTTGAGAACTCTTAAGCTTTAAGTTTCTGATCTTTCTGATGTTCTTTTTTTGTTTATCTGATAACTGAAAAATTCAATAAAAACATAAAATTTTGATGGGGAAAGAACTTTGAAAAAAGATGATTTAGGTACTTTAGATAATTTACTCGAGTTACTAAAAAGCCATACTAAAACCCTTCAGAATAGTAGAAACCAATCTAAAGATTTTAGGAAATTTTCTACAAAGTAACTTCTTTAATGTCGAGTAAAAGCAGTTGCATAATGTACAAGGAAGATCATTCTCTTCACAAATGTAGTAGGTTTTTAAACTTAAGTGTCTAAAAAAGAATCGAATTTGTTAAGAAGCATGAACTTTGTTTTAATTGTTTATCTTCTCAAACTCATTTAGTGAAAAATTGTCATAGTTTACATAAATGTATGACATGTAAGTTGCCCGATCATACTGTTCTTCATTTTGATCGAAATCCCAAAACTAGCGGAAATGAGAAACCAAAACAAACGTCCTTACTCTCCCCCAGTGCTGAAGTGTTCTTACCAAAGAATGAAGACGTTACAAATTCTACAACAGGTAATGGACAATTTAGTTATTCTAAAGGTGAAGCAAAACGTGTTTTACTGTGTACTGCTGTCACTAACGTTAGTGTTTCCAATGGTAAAGCCATCCCTTGCAGGGCTTTACTAGACTGTGGCAGTGAAGCCACCTTCATAAGTGAAGAGTGTGTTAAAAAACTAAAGTTAGGTAGACTTAACAAAAGGACTAAAATGCCGTGCCTTGGTTCATTCAACACTGTAACAGGTGGAGAAGTGGAATTGTTCTTTACCCCACACTTTGAATCAAACTCCAAATTTCGAACATATGCCTTTGTGACTCCAAAGATAACTTCAGGTGTGCCTAACATGTCGCTTCCTTCTAAAATTGTGAATCATTTTGATGATCTAGTCTTGGCTGATCCTATGTTCTATGAAAGAAAAACCTATTGATATTTTGTTAGGTGTAAATTTATTTTTTACTATTTGTAAGGGAGACATCATAAAGAGAGGACAATCATTATCCTTTACAATTTGTTCTCAGTTGGGTTGGATCATATCCGGGAGCACTATTACTGATGATTCAAATATAACTACCACTTATACAGTGAATAATCTTCAGTTAAATACAAATGAATTAGTTGAAAGATTTTAGTCTGTAGACTCCATTCCTAAACTCAAATGTATCTCTAGTGAAGATCAAGAATGGGAAGAATTCTTTAAAACAACACATTTCCGTGATCAAAATGGTCGTTATATAATGAAACTTCTATTTAAAGGTAACCCTTCAAGGTTGGGTAATTTTAAAGATCTTGCTTTGCAGAGATTTAAATCTTTAGAAAGAAATCTCTTAAGATCCTGTGATAGATATGAGATGTATAAACAATTAATGAAGGAATACTTGGATCTCGGGCACATAGAACCAGTTCGTAGTGTAGAGTCCCCAAGTCAGGCATACTACATGCCACATCATGCAGTAATTAAGGAATGTAGTTCTATGAACAAAATATGTGTGGTTTTTAAATACTACTAGTAAGTCTTCATCAGGGCTATCTCTTAACAACATATTGATGACAGGCCCTAGAATACAAGAACTGTTTCCAGTTTTGATCAAAATCAGATGTTACCCAGTAGTTGTCACAGCTGATATCATGAAAATGTTTAGACAAATTTTAGTTAATTAAGATAGAGACTTTCAAAGGATATTTTTGCAGGATAATCCAAGTGATCCTATTCAAGAATTTCGACTTAATACTGTCACATATGGCACTGCCTCTGCTCCGTATTTGGCTACTCATTGTTTATACCACCTTGCATACGATGAGCAGGTTAACTATCCTTTAGCTTCGAAGGCTGTACTTCAAAACGTTTTCGTAGATGATTGTTTGGTAGATGCTCAAAACACTGAAGAGTACAAAAATCTAGTAAATCAACTCTTGTGAATGTTAAAACATGGAGGATTTCTTCTGCTTAAATGGTCATCCAACGACTTATTAGTGTTAGATAATATATCCAAGAAGTTGAGAAATGATTTACATCTTATTCAACAATTAAAAATATCGATATTTGTTTTGATTCCTGACATAAATTATATTGGTATTTGTGCTTTTTGTGATGCCTCCGAGAAAGGCTACTGTCCAGCAATTTATTTGCTTTCCATATCACGCAATTTGGACATCAAAATCTCACTCTTAACAACAAAAACGAGAGTTGCTCCTCTGAAGTCGCAATCACTACCGCGATTAGAGTTATGCACCGCAGTTTTGTTAGTATATTTACTTAAATCAGTGTTAGAACATTTAGAGTTTCCTATATGTAATGTTTTGGTCTGGTTCACCTGTTGTATTCACCTGTTGTATTGTCCTGGATTTCTGCAGAACCATACCACTGGGTTCCGTTTGTTCCAAACCGCATCGCCAAAATACAGAACACAATTCCTAATGTAAGATGGAACCATATCAATGGAAAGCTGAACCCAGCTGATTCAGGTACAAGAGGAATGTTTTCAGTCGAATTTCTGAATTGTGAGCACCTACGTGGTTATATTCACAAGCTTTCTAAGCATGTCCTGATAGCGAACATCTGTGTGCTGACGTAGATTATGAAGGAGTTTGTAGAGAAAAGAGAAAAACATGCATTTCAATATCTTGTACAGTAAAAGACAATGACATTTTTAAACGGTATTGATCTTGGACAAAATTACGTCGTATAGTTTCTTTATACCCAAGATTCATTTACAACTTTCGAAACTTCTCCAAAAATCGTTTAAGAGGTTTTCTGACAACTGCTGAGCTTAGATTAGCTACAAAAACAGCGAGAAAAAATGTCCAAGAATCTTATTTCCTCAAAAGCTCTCTTGTTTAAGAATATCGAGAGAATTAAAAAGTGTAAGCAGTCGAGTAATACAATTAAATCCTTTCCCTGATGAAGAAAGCATTATTCGAGTAGGTGGTCGCTTAAAAAATGCAAACATTCCTGAAAATAGCGAACATCCTATTTTGCTTCCAAAGGAGGGACATGTCACTAATCTCATCGTAACTCATTACCATGTCAATTATTTACATGCTAGTCAAGAGTTATTGATAAACACTTTACGAATACAGTTTTGGATTCTTTCGGTGAGAAGTGCAGTGAGAAAGATAATTCACAGATGTATTAGAAATCGAGGCAAGACTGACCCAAATAATGGGTGATTTACCCTCGCTCAGAGTTCAACCATCAAGGCCTTATGCAGTCACTTGTGTTGATTATGTTGGTCCATATTCAATTAAGTCCCAAGTTGGGAGAAGAGCTAAAACTTTCAAATGTTACGTATCAATTTTTGTGTGTTTCTCAACAAAAGCTGTACACTTGGAGTTGTCAGTGATCTATCAACTTCAGTGTTTTTAGCAGCTCTAAAAAGATTTATCGCCCAATGAGGCAAACCATCTGAAATTTTGAGTGACTGTGCAACTAACTTCAAAGGTGCCAGTAATTAACTGAAGGAGATTAATAAAAATGCAGCTCGCATCGAGAAGAAAAGCAATGAAGTATGTAATTACATTATCTCAGATGGTATAACTTGGTTATTTAATCCTCTGACATCTCCTCACTTTGATCGCTTGTGGGAATCTAATGTGAAGTCCATGAAATTTCATCTTAAATGAATATTAGGATCCACACTCTAACTTACGAGGAATTTTTAACAGTGCTTGCACAAGTGGAAACGTGTATGAATTCCCGTTCTTTATGTGTGATGTTTAGTGATCGAAACAAATTTAGTGCATTGACTCCAGGTCATTTTCTGATTGGAGCCCCTTTGCTTGCCATTCCTGAATCTGACTTGAGTGGTGTGAAATCTTCAAGACTTAAATGTTGGTCTCTAGTTCAACAGACTGTGCAACATTTTTGGAAACAATGGTGTGCAAAGTATTTAACAACCCTTCAACAACATGCTAAGAGGTTTTGTACATCTCCAAATTTAAAATGTGGTGACTTAGTTCTGATCAAAAATGAACAACTGCCTCCAACCCAATGGAAAATTGGAAGAATTGCCTTAATTCATCCAGGCAGCGACAAGAAAGTTCGAGTGGCTACAGTCCATACAGCTGCTGGTGATTTCAAATGAGCTGTTATTAAATTGTGTCTTATCCCCAATCATGATTAATATGAGCTATTGACTTTTCTCATATCATTGAACTTTAATTTTAGTTGAATTTTAATCTTTTTTTTTTTTTTTATTGTTGTTGTTGTTAATGTTATTATGTGTGCTTTAACTATTTGTCTTTTTTGAACCCTTAGAAGGCTTCAAGGCCAGGGGCTATGTTTAGTATTTTTCCTTACTAAACAAATTTTTAGTGTGTCTTTGCAACAATAGATGGTTCATGATTCAATTATGGTTGCTATGGTAACAAACCTTTCAAATATGTGAGTTATGTACTCTATTCTTTTTTTGTTTTTTATTGCTACAGTGCTTTGAATGATGTGTGCATAAAATTCTGTGTCGTCACGTGGACGGCATTTCTTCTATTTCAAAGTGTTATGTAAAGTAAGTAAGTGATACAGTCCACTTTGTTTATGTGATTTTATTCTTAATCAAATTGTTTAATTTCCTTGAATTTAGAACCTTATATACTGAAACATTTCATCACAAAGTTAGATGAATGAATTAGTCATTTTTAATCTGTTGGGTTATGTTGCTGTAGTGAATTTCTTAAAATTAATAGCACTTTTGTGTTAATAACAAATTAATAACATATTTTTGTATATTTTTATAATATTAAACATATAATGTTCAAATTTCATATAAAAAAATTGGGTACTGTAACATTTATGGATCATTTCAGTGTTTAAGATTTTTTACTTTTTTATTAAATATTTATAATTCATTTCAAGTTCAGTGGAATACTTTTTTGACAGTGTATATTATGTTGGAGGGAAAAATATTAGAAAGATTTCTAGATGTTAGAAAAATATTTTTCTATCTGTTTATATATTCCAGTATATGTGAACTATCGACCTCAAGAACCCTTAACAAAAGAAAAAGTAAGTCAGGCATTTAAAGATGTTGTTGCATTAGAACCAGATCCAGATAAAGTGACAAGAGCAAGATTTCTTGACATTATAACCACTCGAGGTAATTTTCTATTAAATAACTACTTACATAAACAGTGAATTTTTTTATTGCATTTTCATTTTAAAATTCATATAAACAGTTATACATAACGCATCTATAAAAATTTGAAGATTTGATTCATAAAAAAATGTTTGGGAAAAGTCATATTTATAATAAATGTAATAAGTGTTCTGCACACGTTCGCCCCAGTTCCTTGTAATGCTTTTTTATTCAGCCCAGTAAATATTGATACAGTGATTTTTTATTTACTCTGGCAAGTATTTTTTTCATTCAGTCTGGTAAATATTATCATTTTATTTATTTATTTAAAATGCTAGTTTTTCTTGAGCTTTTTTAAAATATACAATGAAGTTCAGTCTGCCATTATTTATTTAAAGCAAATTATAAATTTCAGAGTATTATTATGTGAATTTTATGTTGATTCTGAATATCTATGCATAACAAAAGGAAATCATTTAAAAACAATTATTGGTTATGTAATGCTTAATATTACTTATTTACTGAACATGTAATGTACTATATAGTTTTTGCTTTAAGCATTTATTATATTTATAGGAGATGCTATGTCACAAGATGAGTTTCTAACAATTCTTAAATGTCTGAAAGGTGTTAAGTCTGATCAGTTGCATAGTGAAAGAACTTATCACTTGAACACAAACAGAATTACAGATGCTAATCAAATTTTTTTACAAGAAGAAAAGGTTGATCAAACCATTTCAGAAGAAGATGAAGAAACAAAATCTGTGTTGGAAAATTTAGTACCAGATGTGGGTAAAATATTTACAATTTTGTTATTGTTGTTTCCTGTATAATAAAAAAATCTCTTTTATTTAAAAATGCAGCTTCCTGTCTAAATGAATTTAGAGCAGAATTCTATTAAAATTTTTCCAAGGCCTAAGTGGTCGGGAAGCATGGAGACTGATTAGGAAAGAAAGCTTATAAGATGTGTTAACTGATTAAAAAACATCAGAACAGATACTATCGAAATTTTTATAAGGATCTGTAATTATGTTTTTAGCTGTGTTAGAACTAATTCATAGTATCATAGTACAAGGGGATTTCTAAACATAGTGCATGAAACGTAACACATCTGCATTGGTTTTCTCGAGTGTAGGATTCAGTACTCAGCTGATATATGCAGATCATTGTACATATTGCAATATATGCATTAATTGATTTTATTGTCTAATTAAAGTATATAATTAGCACATTATTATCTAGGCTGAATTGGCTAGGTCAACTGAAAATCAAGTGGAATCTTCCTGAAATTTTTGCTTTTTAATCACATAAATAAGACTTTGTGTATCATAGCATGTATTGATTTTGATGTCTAGCAGCATAGATTGTGTGCAGGGAACATTTAAAAATATGTTTTGGAATGATAAGCATTGATAACTTAAAGATTCTTATGGTGGTAATATCAAGTAATCTTTGAAAATAGTTTTGTAGGTAGGAGAATACCAAGACTGAAGTTAAGATGTTAACTTAAAGCAGTCCCGTATCTAGCGGGGGGGCAAGCTGGGGTTCATGTCCCGGGCGGCAAATTCAAATATAACGTTGGATCATGTTTGGTATGTTGTTCGCTAAAACAGCTTTGTAATTTCAGTGCAGTGTTAATAGTTTTAAGGCCAAGTTTAAAAACCTCTTTTAAGAAGATTTGTAATTAAATACTAGGAACCCTTTTAAAAGAACATGAGTTAAAATAAGGTTAAGTACAGCCAATTGCTAATGCGAATAATCACACTTAGTCTCTGGTCTATGATTTGATGTTATATGTAACCATAATTGTTTATATTTTGCTTAGATTGTATTGGCAACAGTCATTGTAATTTTGTTTTGGTGTGATATGTAGAAATGTGCTGTTCCATGTGCGTGATTAATTCCATCACTTAATAAAACCTCTACTTAACTATCATCGGCCTCTGATTCACCTTTTTAAATCTTTACAGCAGAGCGTGGTTCTGATATTGAACACGCTAGAGACGAAGCATTTATATATGTTTTGTGGAACTTATTTGCTTGGAACTGGAATCGCGCGTTAAGTGAAATTTGAAAGAGCAGCACGTGAGGAAACACAAGTATTGTGTTGAGCCGTTTAACGGTAAAAAAACTTTTCTCTCTGTTTAAGCGCCGTGCTGTTTGCAGCCCAAAGAACTTGATAAATATTTAGACGTTGAAGCGGATGAAACGAAAGTTGCTGAAATCAAAGATGCAAAAAAGGCTTACGCATTGCTGCTAACCCTTCTAGATGATGCCATATTGGCGACCGTGTCGAGTGAATCTTCTGCATGTGAAATTAGGAGCTGTTTAAAGAATAAATACCATAAGGTGAGTGAAGTTAGTCAAATATTAGTACGAAAGAAATTATCGACACTGAAGAAACGCCGAGATTGCAGTATGCAGTCACATATTAAAGAACTGTTGGCGATCGTAAATGAACTGCAACTCTCGGGTGCTGAAGTCAAAGATATGGATGTGATTATTTATTTGTTGATGTCGCTACCTGCTGAGTATGACATTATTAAATCGACGATTGAGAACCAGCCAAATGAAATGCTTACGCTGGACTTTGTTATGCAAAGGCTCTTGAATGCTGAAGAATTGCAAGGTGAGAGAAATTCTTACGATTCTCGTGTTTCTGGCTCAAGTAATAACGTAGCTTTTAGCGCTGATAAGCGTGATATCATCTGCCACAAATGTAAAAGTAAAGGTCATATTGCCAAGCTTTGCAAGAAAAAATTAGTTTGTTTTGGATGTGGACGCCCAGGGCATTACAAGAAGGATTGCAGATTTAAGCATAAATCAGATTACAGAGAATCGGCTGCAGTAACATTCATGGTTGGCGAGCCTGTTGGAAATTTCATTCTGGATTCTGGAGCATCTACACACATGTGTAATAAAGGTGAGTGGTTTGAAGATATTAAACCTTTTTCCGGAACTGTTGCATGCACTTCGAAAAATGATGTTTTAAAGGTAGAAGGTATTGGTACCGTACCTGGAACATTAAATGGAAGAGAAATATTACTTAAAGATGTGTTATATGTGCCTTGAGTTGAACGGTCAATTAATATCTGTGAAGAATAGAAGAAAATTCAAAAAGCAGGTTACAGTGTAATTTTTAAATGATGTAGCTGTTATTGATAAGAAGAATGAAAAATTTGAATTTGCTAAACTCAGATAGAAAGGACAGTATGTGAGTCAATTTGATCCTGTTAAAGCTTCAACATGCATTGCAAATCATACTAGTGCAGAATTATGGCACAGGCGCATGGGGCACTCATCTGATAAAATATTAAAAGAAATGGGTTTGCCAGTATCCGAGTCACCATGAAGTTTTTGTCAAGACTACGTACTAGCAAAATATTCCAACACTCCTATGAACAAAGGCCCTAGAAGCAGAGAGCATGTGCCGATGAGAATGGTACACACTGACATATGTGGTCCCATTGATCCACCCACTAGGGAAGGTGAAAAGTATTTTGCTACAATCATAGACGATTTTTCTAGATTTACTGAAGTGCATCTCTTAAATGTCACGTTAGCAATTTCTTTGGTGTAGACTAGGCTTAAGTTTGCAAGGACACAAGAGTGATATACATGTATCTCGCATTTTAAATATTTTAAAAATTTTGGTATACAATTTATGATATGTATGATTCTTTTTTAATATTCGAAAGAAATTTTATTTTCAAAAATCTTAGTTGGATTCAATATTTTATTAAGATTAATTTTCCGGTTGAAATAAGTGGGTTAAAATTCTTCCCATCACACACTTGAATTTCCGCACAATAGAATGGCAGCACTTACGATTATTATTTTCTATTTCTATTTTTGCATCTACCTTTTTTCGTGATTGCGCGGCACTTTTACATCCGTTGTATGCTCTTGATGTGCCTAAAATGTCTAGAAAAAAAATTAATAACTCAGGAAAGCTTTGGATCTTTTTGCTGAATTGCCATCCAATTGCGACTCAAATGCTTCAGATGTCAGTTCTTCTGATTCAGATGAAATTGAAATCCAGGAAAGAATAACTGAGGTTGAAGTTATTGCTGAAGAAGAAAGGGAAGTAGTTATAATTTATTTGCTTTAAAGACACAGAACATCTATGCATGTGGCACTGTAAATATGGGTCGGAAGTATCTTCCCAAAAATTTAAAAGAAGACAAATTTATATCGAGAGGAAATATAGACTTTTCAGTTAGCATGATTATTCAATTTATTGCAGAAAATTGAAGGATAAAAGATCCGTTTCTATTCTGTCTTGCTTGGAAAAGGCAAATGAAATGAAAGAAATAATAGAAAAGAACGAGATGGAAAAACAATAACAACAACAACAACAAAAAAAGTACTGTGCCCAAACAGCATTATTTCATACAAAAGAATATGGAATATGTCGACTTATTTGATCAACTGAAAGGATTATATGAAATAGGCCGCAAAAGCAAGAAATGATGGCACAGGATATTTTTTTCCTTTTTACTTTTAAATGCGAGTATAGTAAACACATTTATTCTATTTAAGTTTGTTCGCGAACCCGATCATGATTGTAAAAACAATGAAAGATTTTAGTCTCTCAGTTATAGAAGGTCTAATGGCACTTTGCAGGCAAGAAAGAGCTGGAAAAATGAACTGAAATCCCCAGTTCAAATAAAAACTAAAAAACCCGTTCGTACAACCAGAAAAGACTAAAAAATGTAAGTTACACACCAGAGAGAAGAACGAGCAGCAGAAGAATGTGCATATTGCAGCACATCGAAAGAAGAACGCCGAACATTTTGGATGTGTGAAACATGTGAAGTGCCTCCATACTTACAAAAGAATGAAACAACATGTTTTTCAAAGTTTTATGAAAAATGACTTTTTTCATTTTTAATCATATATAAATGTTTTTGGAATCAAGTGCCAATTTTAATATTTTATTTAGTATCATATGTACGAGTATCAAATTTTAATCTTAAAATAATATTCAAGAAAATATTTTCTTTTGTTCCTAAAACTTAAAAATATTAAATATATACTATATGCAAAATGTGCATATGCAAAATTTTACAAGTCATGCATATATGCAATAAGTACAAAATGCATTTTAGTGTGTTTATTATAAATATTTTAGAATGCACGCTTAATTTTAGTTATTCATTCCACATATGATTTTTTTTTCCTGCTATACACCAATATGCTATAAGACATGTGCTAGTTGCATGGTGGGACAAACGGTATCCCACCTTCTACCATAAAAAATAAGTGCAAATTTTTTTCAAGCCTTAAAGGCACTTAAGTAAGTCCACTAGGGAAGGTGAAAAGTATTTTGCTACAATCATAGATATTTTTCTAGATTTATGAAGTGCCGCAAAGGGTCTTAAAGCACAAGAATGACATAAATGAAGTGTTTAAATTGTTCCTAAAGCAGAATCCTGATTTCTACAAAATCCAGTGCGATAATGCCAAGGAATACGTTTCTGGTGAGCTAGCTCATTATTAAAAGAAAAATGGTGTTATGATAGATCCTGCTCCTCCATATTCACCTCCTTTGAATGGTGTGGCTGAGAGAGCCAACAGATATCTTTTAGAGAAGGCCCGAGCTCTAATATGTGAAGCAAAGCTTTCTAAATCCTTTTGGGGTTATGCTGTACAGACAGCTGCATATCTTAAGAATAGAATTCCAAATCAGACTGTTGAAAATCTACCTTATGAGCTCAAATATGGGAAGCCGCCTGATTTGAATATTATTAAGGTGTTTGGATCTGATGCATACATGAGAGTTCCT